TCCTAAGTCACAGGTGGGAATCACATGTCCCTCTGAAATTGAAACTGAAATTTCCAGCAGCTCTACCCAGCATAGCCAGTGCAAAAGAATGCAGTCCAGCAACATCTGGAGGAAGATATGATGTGCATCCCTGACTTCACTGGAACTGATAGGAAGAGAAATTTTTAGAAAAGAAGAAGCACGAAGGACTAGAAGAAAACTCCAAGAATGCTAAGATCTTCAGGAGAAGACTTTCTTTTGGTCCTGCCACAATCAGAGTAATAAGGACAGCTTTCACCGGATAAGGACAGCTTTCTCAGTGGTTGCTCCCTCCCTCTTGAACTCCGTTCCTTTGGAGACTAGGCTGGCAGGCTTTTAATGGTTAAGGAGTTCTTATTTAAATGTGTGTTTTATTTGTTTTTAATATTTTAATTTTAATAGTATTTTAATATTCGTAAGGCTTTTATTTGGAGTATTTTTAAATGAGTTGATATTTTAAAATATTTTTAAGTATTTTAAATGTTTTTTTAAAATGATCTGATAGTATTTAATATGGGGAATTTTAATTGCTTTTTTTAAATGTATTGCAAACGTCTTTAATGTGCTATTTCTGGAAGCCACCTAGGGTCAACTCTGGGAGAAAGGTGGCATATAAATGAAGTAAATAAATAAATAAACACAATAAATAAAAAGATAAGTCCAACCTCTCCACATCCCACTTTTTGAATGTAGCAGACAATCCATCCCTTAATACAATCAATGTGGGTGTACATGTTAAATTGTTTAAACTTGCACCCCCACATGTTGTTGCATTTCATCTCCTAGATGTTCCAGCCAGCATGGCCTGAGGGTGGTTTGGTTTAACACATCCTTGACCCAAGTCTGGGAACCACTGGTTCAAAGTCCACACAGGCAGCCCGTTGCAATGTTTCAAACAGGCAAAACAATTTTTCCTTCTTTTTCTTTTAACAAATGTCAATATGTAGTTTATTTATACCATTGTGTCTGGATGTTACCTGTTCTGGTCATGATCTGTTTGTTTCAGTTGTCAGGATGTCTAATCAATCAACAGTTTTCTTGTTATTTCACTTTGCTTGTCAGCTTCTTCCTCTTTTACTCAAACAGATATATAGACACACCACACTCCTTTTTTCTGAAGGTCACTTGGGCTTCTTAATGGACATTTATCCTGCAAACAACACAATGATCTTTGACCGTTCTGCAGGGCATTGGCAAACCTGGCACATAGTGAACCTTGCTAGGATTCACAGTGACCAAACAACTGGAAGACACACAGTCCACACAGTACACAGCAGAGAGTGCAGCTTTCAGAGCCAGCACTGAAATATAATTAGAAGAATTACAGGAAAGAGAGAGGGGACAGATCATTCATTTAGATCTGCTTAAACAAAAAGCAGGGCTTTAATGAATTTACTGGCCAATATTCTTTGCACTATTCCATAGCCTCATGGCAACAAACAGTGATGTTTTGTGTGTGTGTGTTTGTGTTTTAATTCCCTTTGGTTCCAACTCATTATGCTAGCCGGTTCATTAATTCTGTCATTTATTGGAGGTAAATAACAACCCAACCACCCTGAAAGCTATGAAAACTCAGTGGCCTATGAATTGTTTCCCCCTCATCCTTAGAATTTCTCTTGTAATGTCAGAGCTAAGCCACTCTGTTGTGCAAAGATGGTCTACTTCCCCAGACTTTTGTCTGGCTTGATTGCTTGCCTAATCACCCTTGATAACTGTTAGGCCTCTCTTATTCCACAAGGTGTTTAGGTTGGACTGGTTGAGCAGAATTTAAATGGTCTTAATCAGCATCTCCCCATGATTTAACACTGCTGCTGGTATTTGTTTGGCACACCCATGCCAGCCGGGTGGACTCCGAGTAGTCCCAAAAGTGCATTTCCTAAGTGCTGCCCTAGAGTCTCTCTGTATGTGTTGCTAGTATTACTATGAGTTAGTTTTATTTTCATATTAAATTTTGTTTTGACTAGTACTTTTAAGAGTTAGGCTACACAAAGGTGGAAATGAATAATGTGTGGTGCGGATGGGTGAATCCTCATGACTTCTCATAAATTTACTTTATCAGGGTTGTCAGTTCAGGATCATGCCAAGCGCCGAGGGTTCTGGGCCAAACCGTGAGACCTAGAGATAGGTACTGCCTTAAGTACAAACTAATGCTGCTCACAGGGCACACAGACACAGAGAATGTATTTTCCTGTTTGGAAATGAAGGCTGCACCTGCACTGCAGAGATAATGCTGTATGCTTTAATTGCCACGGCTCAATCCTATGGAATTCTGGGATGTGTAGTTTTGTGAGATATTTAGTCTTCTCTGTTAGAGAGCTCTGCTGCCCCAACAAAACTATAAATCCCAGAATTCCATAGCATTGAGCCATGTCAGTTCAAGTGGTGTCAAACTGCATTATTTCTGCAGTGCTGATGCAGCCTAAGGAGCTTATCGCTTGGGGTTTTAAACCGAATCAAGCCTTCCAGGCTGCAGCCGAAAGGTGGGAAGGAGGCGAAGATTATCAAGAGAGGGACTGGCATGGCTACTGGGTGAGTGGAAAAGGGTATTGCCTCCCTTTCCCATTTGCCCAGCAGGCATACCAGGCACTAAACTGGCCCTCCAAAGGCCACAGCACTGCCCTTCTCAGTAGCGACCGCTGCTGCCCCCCCCTGCTTTTAGGGTCCTGTGCAAGTAGCCACGGCAGACCCTGAAGGCCTTCAAGGTTCAGTGTGATTGCTCTCAGAAGGCCTTTCTCAGGGAAGCTGGCTGCGGGTGTGTGGTGTGGTTATTCCTGACCTGCCCTCATTATTTGGCCCTCCATTCCCATGCCTCTGGCTGTCTGCACGGGTGTTCTGTCGAGCTGCTTGGTGCGTCTGCTGCCGCCGTGGGTCACTTGCTTCTGAGGTCAGAATGAGGCACTCAGTGATGGCTGGGAACCTTGTTCTGGCCTCAGAACAAGTGACCCTTGATGATGGCCGACACACCAGGCAGCTCAGTGGGACACTCATGCAGACAGCTGCCACAGTGCAGGAACAAAGGGTTCCAGAGTGACGGGTAAGTTATTTCATGTTTTTAAAGACTGATTTACCCTGTTCTGGTGCAGAATATGCCAGACATCGTCTGGACTGTCACACCAGAACTGGGGTTCGGGATGCATGGCGTCCAAACAGGACAACACCATAACAGGGGTGGGTGCAGGGGGAATGGGCCATTTGGCTCATGAAGACAAGGTCTGTGAGTGAATAGAAGCTGGAGCCTGGGTGCACCTGGTAACATTTTTATGAGTTAGTAAGCCTGACCTTTTTACTGGTGTCTAGTGCAGGATGAAGACCCTCTTTGCAGTGTGCTTTCTTGGGAAAATGGAAACAATGTGCTCTTCTCTCAATTTCCCCCCAAATGAACTTATTAACATTATTTCAAAAGTATTATGATGGGTAAAAACGAACTATCAGTTTTTTTCTCTCTCTTTTCCATTTATTTGGACTAGGATGGCCCTTGAGGTGTCTTCCAATTCTTTGATTCTATTTATTGATTTATTTGATTTATAACCTTCCTTTCTCCCAGTCTGATGCTTCCAAGGCAGCTTTTCATTTTCCAACATGAGAATTTGCAGCTCAGTTTCAGAAATATAATCTCTAACTGCTTTGTTGATCCAGTGTCTCTTTTGTTCAATCAACCTCAATTTTACATGTCTCTCAGTCCCTGAATATAGTTGATGGTCATCTGACCTCTTTGAGGAACTGAGATAGGGGAATGTAATAAATGAAATGTAACTGCTGTGTTTCCAAGCAGGATGTAAAGATATACTTCCATCCATTAAATGTGTGTGTTATTTTGTCTTTCAAATAGTTTCCAACTTATTGCGGCGACCCTAAAGTGAACCCATCAGAGGATTTTCTTGGCAGGTTTCTTCAGAGTAGGTTTGCCATTGCCAAGGTCACACAGTGAGCTTTTATGACTAAGCAGGGATTTGAACCCTAGTCTCTAGAGTCATAGTCCAGTATTCAAACCATTATACCATGCTGGCTCCCATTCACACATACAAACAATGCGTATCATGAAGCCTTGCCTCCTAGCATATGATAATCCACTGTCCTCATTGTCAAGATTCAAATGACAATCCAGTTGACTCTTGCAAATGGAATGGAACAGGATGTCACCTAGCCTTTTGCCTCAGGTAGCTAAATGTTTTTGGCTCTTTGATGTTTAAACCCTTGATCATATAAGGCAGTTAACCCCCAACCTGTAATCTTCCAGATTTGTTGGGCTAAAACTTTTATCATTTCTCCTCAGCTGAGAATGTGGTCCCACACAATTGTAGGGCATGAAGCTGGGAATGGATGATATAATGTATATCATGTATAGTTTGACTGATGACTTCATTCTCCTTTTATATCATATTTTCCTATTTTCTATGTGTGGCAAGTTTTATTTTGGGCTGAATTAATCTGTGGTTTCTTGTTACAAGGTCTGGACAGTAGTGTCCAATGGCAGATACATCTTTTGATATCTTATTAAAGACACCTACAAAATAATCATATAATCAAAATAATTATATGCAGTGTCATCTCCCAATCTGTCCTATGAAATTACATGATTCATAGAGAAGTGGTTGGGGGTTTCTTCAAAATCTCCATTTTGCTTTTGAAAATACTTGCAAAAGTGTTCCCAGTTTGACTTTAGA